TTATTTTAATTAATCATTTAATTATAAAATTTTTTATCTTTTATTTTTTAAAACATATTATAGATAAATATAATTTTTTTAACAAATTTCAATTAAAAAAACAATTATTTTAAAGCAAAACAATAAAAAAAAAATTTATTGAGATACTGTTTGATTTAGTTGTTGAGCCACCATCTTCCAAAAAAAGAAGTGGAAGTTTTCAATCCCTTGGAGGGGATAATATTATTATTTAAGCGCTTAATTCTTAAACTTACTTAGGGATTAGTTTCACACCCTTGAACATATTAGTAAGCCAAAAATTAAGTCCCTGAACTGTGACAGGGCAAAAAATGAAACTCTTGTAGTTCACCGGTTACAAAGCAATCCCCTTTTTTGACAGAAAAGATTAACGGGGGCTCTTAAACTTCCAATTAAGAAATAATGCTGTAAATGAGCTAAATAGTTTGATTAAACCTGGTTTAAGCTCAATCCATTTGCTAAACAAATTAAGTTTGAACTTAATTTCTAGTTTAATAAATAATCGAGAGTTCGAACCTAAATGTTAAGCCCGTAAACTACTTGTAAATAACTTATTTATAATATTAAAAGATTAAAAATTATATTATTAAATTAAATTAAATTATTTTAAATTATAAATTGACACACCACGGGCTATTGAATCCAAAATTGATTAATTTGATAAAGAAATCTTCAGTAACAACCTGTTGATTCGAATAGAAAAAATTTATTTTTTTAAAAAATAAAATTTTAAATTCAAAATTTATAAATACAGAAACAAATGTTGGGAGAGTTTTCCTTTAATGAAATCTAACGTGACTCAATTTTGAATTAATCGAATCTAATATGATTACTAAATATCAAAAAATTATTATAAAAAAAAAAAAAAAAAGATAAACAAATCTCTACTCTTCTCCAGACAAACCCATCTCGAGTTTTCTACTTTCTATCATCATGAGTTCCACAAAGGCATATAATGCAAATTAACCCTTGAACATGTCAAGAGGTGGCAAAAAAGCTCTGGAGTTAACCATAACCCTTAAACATGTCAAGAGGTGGCAAAATTTGCATCAATAAAATGATTTTTCTACATATAGAATACCTACCAATATAGATGACATGTAACATTATTTTATTAGTTGCAAATTAGGTGTAAACACCATGTAAATTATAATTTAACGACATGTAATTGCCATATCATAAAAAAAAAAAAAATTCATTTTAGATTAAATTAACAGTCATGTTATTACTTAATTGATGGGAGAACTAAAAACTATAATATGTAGAGTTTATGGGAAAAAAAAGTACCGAAAATAATTTATGAACTAAAAATCTTAAAATCTAAAATTTAGAGATTAAAATTAGCATTTAACTAAAATAAAAAGAATTTTTTTGACAAAAATCTCTGGCACTTTAACATCCAATAGTAAAGCCAAACAAAAATAACAAAAATCTGGCTGCCTATTATGAAGCAGAAAGAGCACAGATATAGCAGTGACAAGGGACGGGGGTCTATGGAGCTATAACTGCCCTTGTATGTCCCTGAAAGCCGAAACAAATGTGCGACCACCAGTGCAATCATGGCATAAAAGGCACCAAACAAAGTCATAATTGAATAAACTAATGCGACGCTCGTAATAATCTACATAAATATAAAACTACGGGTGAAGGAGCACAGCGGAACTCGAGAGTACCAGGGCAATCGTGTTCGGAAAAACTAACACTTTGAAAGCTGGCTTTCTTATAAGAACTCAAGAGGGGCCATTGTTATTTGTATGTGTAGCTCCCAGTCACGGTGAAACCGACTGCAAAGGTAATAGTTGCTATAAGAGTTGCCACCACTAATAAAATTGATATCCCCTTTAGTGAAAATGATTGAAAAATATTTTTTTATATAAGTTTTGCAGATTATTTAATAATTAATTTTTTAATTAAAATTTATGATATACTGTGTATATATATCAATTTGTTTAAAACATATAAAAATTATAAAAAAAATTATCTACATTATATTACTTTTATCTCTTATTAGATACTTCAACATCATTTTCCCTTAAGATATTTGCCACGTAGGATGACGACCACCTTGGTAAGCATGTCACGTAAGCATCAGAGGTGTAAAATCAAC